GATAACTGCATGAATTGCTTGGTTGTTGGCTGAGAGAATATCCACCGAGAGTCTAGAGTCGTCCCACAGCAGCCATAAGCCTCCAGCTAGACCATCTGAGTTGACAATGCAAGACTTGGGGAAGCCGAGAGAATTAGCTACCTCTAGAGCATCAGGACAAGAAATTTTTGTTTCAAGAATAAGGAGCATAGCTGGGTTGTGAATCCTTATAAGATCCGTGACACTTTTCCGAAATCCTGCTTTGAGTGCCCCCCGACAATTCCATGAGATAATCTTCATAGACCAATCAAGAGTGGTTGATAGCCCCAATGCTATCTGGGCTCTCAACGGATTGAACACCGGCAGTAGGGATTGAAATGTCCATGAGAGGAACCTGGCTAGGGGAAAATGATATGGTAGGAAAAGGATTTGGAAGTCCCTCTCGGTGTGGGTCTCTAAGGACCACAGGGTTTTCAGTACTAGAAGAATGTGTTCCATTTTCCCCTCTAGTTGGACGATCTTCAGGTGGTTTTGGTAAGCATAGCTTGTCAAAAGAAGTGGCTTGATAAGGCTCAACTCCTCGTCGAGCACTTTGGCGCCTTCTATCAATCCGAGATTCCCGATCCGACATGACTCTTTTAAATTTGGATTTTCCTCGGCTGGGGGGATCAAATGGGCTATCTCTGGGAGGTTCACCTCCATGTTGGTGAGAATGGGAGTTCTCCACGCTGTGAACAATTGATTCAACGACCATTTGGAACCCCTGGGGGATGTGCAATCCAGCATCCACTCCACAGCTGTCTCCATCCGGACGGTTAGCTGGTTCTCTACAAGAAACATCTGTGTTTTCGGAGCAAGTTTCAGAAACTGGGGCGGATCCATGGCTAGGTAGGGGGGAAGAAGAGGTTTGGGGAGATTGGGATTGGGGGTGGGTTCCGAAAGTGCTAGTGGAGGTGAAATGATCGGGAGTGGGGTGGGTAGGCTGAATCGAATTAGGAGAGTAAGAAGAAGGGTCTTGTTGGGGTACAGAAAGCCTATGAATATCAGATCTAAAATTAGGTTCGGGAATATTAGCCTGGTGAGAAGGCTGGCCTTGGGTATGAGAGGACTTGGGTTTGTATTTGGGCTCTTGAATGGAGGTGCTCATGGGTGGGCCTTGAACCTTGGCAGAAGTTTTGCTGACCCATAGATGGGTTTTGGGTTCCGGTTTGGAATAATCCACAAGAGGGGTTTTGGCTTTGTGGACCGTTGGACCTTGCTTCGAAGATTGATCAACATTTATTGCATTGAGAACATTACCGTTCTGTTGATTTGAAAGAGAGTTGTTCGTGACTCGCTGAGTTTTGGGACTAGTGTTACGCGTTGAATTGCCCGAGTCACGGACGTCCTTAGCTTTGGGGTTTGCCGGTGTCTTCTCCAGTGCTGACGAGTTTGAGGGAGGTTTCCTTTTGGCTCTGCATCGCTCCACTAGTAACCAGGGGCCATAATCCTTATCAAAGGATTTGTCGATATCAGATGTCTGCAAAGCAGGGCTCAGGATGATGGGGGGGGGGTCGCAGCCTTAACGTTGGGGAATGTAGAGTTTGAAGCATGAGTTGGCAGAGTAGCAGTGTTAGCAGCTTCATTAATGATCTCGGAGGTAATATTGAGCTGAAGGCATTGGTTATTTCTGTGGCCAATGCGCCCACAATGAAAGCACAGAGCACTGACCCCTTCATAAATGACCCTCTGTTTTTTCCTTCCAATTCTGATATACTTAGCAACAGGTTGTGCAATATCAATTTGGACACACACCCTTGCATACTGGCCCCTGGTGTGATGAGCTGTATGGGCATCGACCCTAAGGAGCGAGCCTATCTTATTCCCAATCTTCTGGAGAGTAATAGGGTCATAATAATCAGCTGAGAGATTAGGGAGTCTAGCCCAAACAGCCGTGGTGGTAGTGGTGCGAATGGCCTCTTCCGGGTCAAAGTTGGGTTCCCACCTTCTTATGGTGAGATAGTAGGGGCCAATGAACCAAGGGCCCCCCATGATGACTTTACTCAGATCCTCATTGTCCTGAAATCGAACGAGAAAAAAATCAAATCCAAGATCAATGAAATCCCACTTACCATTCGGTTTCCATTGAGCTTGAACTCTAGGAAAGACATAGTTATAACCCAAAGGTTTAGGATGGAAAGCTTTGATAATGATAGCATTCATCCATGGCTCTCGGATTCTTCGTTTTTCTGCTCTTGATAACAAAACTATAGGAGTGTCGTCCTCTGGATCATCGTCAATGTCTGATTCTTCCTCCATGTAACTAGGTATGGTATTAAAGGAGAGAGTAACTGGGTTTTCTTTCCCCATGAGTTTATCCCTATAAGATAAAGAGTTTTGTGATTGGTTGGCTAATGCTGTGGCTGTATTTTGAGATTCTGACATTGGGGTGTCAAGGAGTTCCTCATCGACAATTTGGTTAGTCATCAGCATGTCTTTAGTGGACAGGTTCGATGGTTCACCATTAAAAGGGTTATCTCCCCTTCGAGGGCTCTCTGTAGAGACATCTGTTTCAGGGTCTTTGATCTTCTCGATGCTCCGATCAAGGAGATCGGTTTCTTGAACGGAGGGGAAATTTTCGAACAGAGAGAGTTTTGCTCGGACGCTCATAACTTCTCGAATTTTTTTACTTTGAGCTTGACGTTTAACCATTTCTTACCGTTAAAAAGCTATTAGTGCTCCTTTCATGCTTTTTCGTTTTCTTCCAAATGATTGGCCATATAAAATAAGGTTATCCTTTGCTTTTTAAAATATTTTTCGGTCACTGTTAGATTTAAACTTTAAAATTTTAGTAAGATATCTTATATTATATCTCAAGGTCACATGATAATGTTATAATAAATATATTTTTTAT